CCTGTAGTCAAGCTACTCAGGAGGCTAAGGCATGAAGATTGCTAGAGCCCAGGTGTTTGAGGTTGCTGTGAGCAGTAACACCATGGCACTCTACCCCAGGGCAATTGAGTGAGATTCTGTCCCCAAAAGAAAAAAATGTTATAAGGAAGATATTACAAAAATTTCAGTAAAGTGTTCTTGACATGGGATCAGTGACTTCAAGAGTGCATTAACCCCTGATGGTGCATACAAAATTATAAGCATGTGTAAAGATACCTGTGTATGCACGTGCTCATCTTCTGGTAAGAGGATTAATCAAGCTGGGCATGGTGGCTCACACCTGTAATCCCAGTACTCTGGGAGGCCAAAGCAAGTGGACTGCTAGAGCTCAGAAGTTGGAAACTAGCCTAAGCAAGAGTGAGACCCCATCTCTACTAAAAATAGGAAAAACTAGCTGGATGTTGTAGTGCACACCTTTAGGGAGGCTGAGGCAGGAGGATCACTTGCACCCAGGAGTTTGAGGTTGCTGTAAGCTACAATGATACTACAGCACTCTACCCTAGATGAGGAAGTAAGACTCTGTCTTGAAGAAAAGAAAAGAGAAGGGAAAGGGAGGGGAGGGAAGAGGAGGGGAGAAGAAAAGGAAAAGAAAAGGAGAACAGAAGAGAAGAGGAAAAGAAAAGATTAAATGAAGTTTAAGGATATATAGAAGAATTCTACAAGAGGATATATAAAAAGGCAAAAATCAAAACTAAAAAAGGAAAATTTATTCCATCACAGTGGCCAGGGAAGACTGTAAAGAGGAAATATCATTTGAAAGAAGTAAAATCTGGATATGTGGAGATGGGGGAAGGGAGAGAGAGTTCTAGGTTAGAAAAGAAAAGCAGAAACGAAAATATTCTCTATATTCATTTCTTCCCATATGCTTTGTGTTACATACTTACAGTGAACCTCTTCTTTTTCTCTCTGTGTTCATCAGAGCTGGGAATGCTTACACTTGGGCAGCTTTCCTTGTAGTCCATGGTATAATCTCTTTGAATTTAATGCTTCAAAAGGACACCAAAAAATGAGTCCGAAGAAATAGTCAGCAGATGACAAACCCAATTAACTAATCCAAAATATAAAACCTCTTGAAGTAATGTTCAAATTCCATCATGTAACCTTAACCAACAGAAGAAAAGAAAAAGAACTGATTAGCAAAACAATTTTTTAAAATACTATGATTTGTCATTCCTGTGCCTAGAATCCATTTTATGTTTATTCCAGCAGGACTTAACTCTTGTTTCTAAGTCTCAGTCCACATTAGAGATGCAGTTTCTGTTATGTTCCTATCATTAAACCACAACAAAAGATTTACATCCCATCTATATTCCTTACTACTAGGAAATTTCGTAGGCTTATATACCACAGTTCATGTGAACTACAGGCTAATTCTCACCTAAAAAGCTCTAGTTAGATGGACTAAAATATTTCAGACTTGTGGCATATGCTGAACAATTCAGATTACAATCCCATATAGTAACTATTTATCCATTTTACAAATGAAGCAACTGAGGCTGGGCTCCCATCTGTAATCCTAGTACTCTGGGAGGCTGAGGCAGGTGGACTGCTAGAGCTCAGGAGTTCTAAACCAGCCTGAGCAAGAGCGAGACCCCGTCTCTAAAAATAGCCAGAGGTGGGCATCTATAGGCCCAGCTACTCAGGAGGTTGAGGCAAGATGATCACTTGAACCCAGGAGTTCGAGGTTGCTGTGAGCTATGATGCTATGGCACTTTACCCATGGCAACAGAGTGATACTCTGTCTTAAAAAGAAAAAAAAACCACCCACACACAAAGAACAAAACAACAAATGAAGTAACTGAGACACAAAGAGGTTTGTGTTTACACAAATTTACACACAGATCTTAACCCAGGCTGTCTGGCCCTAGTCCTATACTATGTTGCATTTTATTACCTGAGGGTGTTTGTTATACACTGAATACTTGGTTAAAGACATTACAGTATATCTTCACACAGAAGACATGCAGTATGTTAGTACCATCCCACCCTTGAACAAGGAGTATGAGATGACACACTGGTATCACCTCTGCTACACAGAGCAGCCCATACTCTCTGATGACACACAAAGCAATACTTTTCAAAATATCACTTTACCTGGATAATTTTCCTTGATTATTTGTTTCAGGAAATCACTCTAAGACAGTGGTTCTCAACCTGTGGGTCGCGACCCCTTTGTAACAATGAAAATATATTTTGCATGTCAGATATTAACATTATGATTTACAACAATAGCAAAATTACAGTTATGAAGTAGCAACAGAAATAATTTTATGGTTGGGGGCTCATCACAACATGAGGAACCATATTAAATAGTCGTGGCATTAAGAAGGTTGAGAACTACTGCTCTAAGAGATCTGACCACTGTAAATGTCAGCTCATAACTTTATTCAGGTATAATGAGTTTTAACTGATTTAAGGGTACTTCCCTTTGAGATGATTTAAAATTGACCTTGCTGGGTTTGCTGCTACAAATGCATTAATGAAGAATTTATATGTAGCTGAATTCCTGGTTAGAAAATATAAATACCCAACTGACTCTCCCCTAAATGCAGTATGCGGCATCTGTCTATACCAGATACAGAACCCACAGCAGCAGCCACTTTGGCCCCATTAGACCAGGGCAGCACCCACTAGGGCCCTACCTACCCATCCATGGCCCCTGTCACAGCTTTCGCATGAGAGCAGGTAGAACCCACTTTAGCCCATCCTTCTTCACTGTCACAGAGAGGGTAAAGGTTATGAGCTACATTTTATACACCTCTCCCTTGAGAGGTGTGGAACTCAGAAGGGAGTAGGACCCACTGGTACTTTATTATGTATGAGCTTGAATATCTGTCTATGCCTGTTGGGCCACAGCACACAGGAACAGCACTCCAGGAAAACATCAGGCCTCTTCCCTCTGGAAGAAACATTAAGATAGTAAGCAGCATCAGGAATAAAAAAGAGGAAGAGCTGTAGGCAGGACAAGCTGTTTCGTACAAGGTGCCCAGGGGATGTCTAAGAGCACAGGTACAACAGGCAGTAAAGTGTAGAAGCCTCCACCCAAGGTATGCACTCAAACCTAGGCCAGAGGCTCCAGGGAGGCAACAGAGTTAGATAATCTCCACTGATGCTTCCAGATTCACTCTTTTCTGCCCTGCTGCATGCCCAGAAGCTGATCTCTATGGACTACACATCAAGGCAGGCCACCTCTTTGCCCTTGGCTTCTGGCTGAGTTTAGCCAATGCCAGGGACTAGCAGACCAGAGGGTAGGAGGAGCAAGATGCTAAGGTACTCTCCCTGGTCTCTTTCCAACACCAGTGTTTTCTCTGCCTAAGGGCACAGTTCCTACCAGGCAACCCCTCCCACAGCTGCAGCTGAAGTCCTCGGTGCAGTTTCCTGACGGTTAGTAAGAGTGCTTCATCACGCCTTGCTGGTTCCTATAACCCTTCCCACACTATCTTAGTAAACAGTTCTTTGTGTGATTCACTTCAATTACTTCTGAGTGTGCCATGTGACTGATGCAGTTAACTGACACCAAGAATGACCCCAGAGAACAGGCTCAAAAATGAGATGCATATTTGGTATGTGCCCTGACAACCTTCCTGTGGAGGGAGGGGATGGCACACAGTGACATCATGATCACTCAAAACCACCTTCTGTGCACGGTGTCTCAGGATGGAATGCAGGTAGAGGGCAGGGTGCTCAAAGTCCAAGCAGCTGGTGAAAACATGGACTGCAGTTGCTTCTGGCTGTCCTTGAGAATGTGCACAAACCAAGTGACAAACAGAAAACTGTGGATTTCCAAAAATATGGGTGGAAAATCTACAGGTATTTAATAGAGTGCTTTTAAAAAATAAAAAAAAAAAAGAATGCTTTATATCTTAATAGTTGCTGAGCTGATAGGACTAAGGATCAAGCCTGGGGTTTGACGATAAGGGCTGCAGAGCCAATTAAACACCCAACTCTGCAGAGTCTCTTGTGCTAACACAGGGTATGGGCTGAAAAGGAGAATAATGCCAAATCACAGATGTGGGCATGTGGGAAGACACAGGCAAGACTAAGAACGTTGAACCCCAAATTCAAATAAGCTTCCCCTACTGAAAGCAGCTACCTACACCACACTGAGGAGACCCACCTTCCCAACGTCCCTACCACCAATAAAACCCTTTCACGTTGTTTCACAAGTGAATGTCAGTCCTCTTCACTAACTACTCCCACCCCCTTTATTGCCATCTAACCCAAAAGAGCCTAGAAAGCCCTCTCTGGGAGAAGACTATATCTATACAAAAACATTTGCACAATGTCAACAATTTTTACCAGCAAGAGTCTGGGGAGCACATATAGGAGTACATTCAAACCAAAAAGGACTAAATATAAGATTATTATGACCCTTTAAACAGCCGTAAGTGGTTTGGTGCCTGTAACTCCACTGGCTAGGGCGCTAGCCACATACACTGGAGCTGGCGGGATTCGAGCCCAGCCCAGGGCCTGCCAAACAACAATGAGAACTACAACCAAAAGATAGCTGGGCATTGGGGTAGGCACCCATAGTCCCAGCTACTTGGGAGGCTGAGACAAGAGAATGGCTTAAGCCCAAGAGTTTGAGGTTGCTGTGAGGTGTGACACCACAGCACTCTATAGAGGGCAACACAGTGAGACTCTGTCTCAAAAAAATAAAATAGGGTAGCACCTGTGGCTCAAAGGAGTAGGGCACCAGCCCTATATACTGGGAGTGGTGGGTTCGCGCCTGGCCCCAGCCAAAACTGCAAAATAAATAAATAAATAAGTAAACAGCCATAAGTGTATATTGTTGACCTTTCTCCAGATCCTTTCCAAAAGAGACCTGCATCAACTCCCAAGGGTGACTGTCCATTGCAGAAAGGGAAATTTATAATCCTTCTAAGGGTCACTGGATACCAGCTCTAAACTGACACATCACTGGGGACCAAGACATGGTCTTCCAGTCAGAGTGGGACTTCCAGGGATAAGGGAAGATATAAAGTCAGCCCTAGTGTCTCATAGTGGGTCCAACGGGACCACAGGCTCAATTTGTGCTTATTTCCCTAGTCCTAGAATTTTTGTGGAAATAGATATACTTAGTATCTGATCAAATGCCTACACTGGTTCCCTGTCCTATGTCATAAAAGCAATGATAGGAAAAAGGGCCACGAAAAATCCCTGGAACAGTCTCCTCTCCCCTCCCCCCAGTAAGAAGTAACCCCAAATTATATCACATCCCTGGGAGAAAGTCAGAAATCAGTATTGCTATCAAAAATTTAAAGGATGCAGGGGTGTTAAATCCTACTCTAGCCCCATTTAACTTGCCCATTTACCCTGACCAATGCTGGAAAGATCCTAAAATATGACTATGGATGATCACAATTTTTTTCTTTTTTTAATGAGACGGTGTTTCTTACTTTGTCACCCTAGGTAGAGTGCTGTGGCATCATAGCTTGGAGCAACCTCAAACTCTTGGGCTCAACCAATCCTCTTGCCTCAACTTCCCAAGTAGTTGGGACTATCAGCACCCTCCACAAGGCCAGGCTGTTTTTAGAGATGGGGTCTTGCTCCTGCTCAGGTTGGTCTGGAACTCCTGAGCTCAGGCAATCCACCCACCTCGGCCTCCCAGAGTGCTAGGATTACACCCAGCCATCACGCCCAGCCCTGATTACTACAATTTTAATCAGATGCAATACCAATTACAAGTTATGATTCTAAATGTGATGTACTTTCCTGGGGAAAATTAGCATAACCCGGTATCTGATATATGACTATTGACCTGGTAAATGCTTTCTTTTCTATCACCATCAGAAAGAACCATGAAATGCAGTTTGCCATGAAATGGCAGAAACAGCAGTATACCTTCATTGTTTTACCTAAGGGCTATGTCTGCATTGTCATAACACAGTCTTGGAGGGACCTTAATCATCCTGTTAGCCCACAGGTCACCCCACTGGTCCATCATAGTGATGGCATTATCTTAAATGGACTTGATGAATAAAACGTTAGCAAGTACCTGGGACACCTATGCTAGACACACAACAAATCAGAGGATGGGAGCAAAAAGCCACTGGAATTCAGGAATCTGCCACTTTAACGTTTTCTAGGGTTCTGGTCTG